GGGTTTCTTTTGAACTTCTTACATGCTTAGGATGCAGGATAGAGAAATAGTCCACCGCAATCAAACTGAAGTATTTTTCTTTTAAGTTTCCTTTAAATTTAAGATGTTGTGTTTACCCAGTATCATTTCTGGAGAAATGAAAGAGAGATGCATTATTATGCCATGGGAAAAATCAGCATGTGTTAAGTGTCCTGTTGGACTCGAATGACCCAAGTAGCCAATGAGGAAAGTACTGTTCTACTAAGAAAAATATAAACAAGATGGTGGTATAAGAAAATCTTAATTCCTTACCAACATATTAAAGATGTATTATGTCACATATTCTATATGCTACTCACCTAATAAATTCAATAAAGATGTTAAAGCACTTATTATGAACAAGGCTACAAGACTGAAGGGTGGGAAATACAAAAATAAATAAGGGATTCTCCCTGTCCTTAGCATGCTTATGATCTAGGAAGTGAGAGAATATGAAGGTATTTATTAACAACCATAATACAAGGCCATATCTCATGCCCAAATAAAGGGCCATAAGAATTCTGAAGTGAACAAGGTCATTTCTGTTTGTGTGATCAATGACAGGCAATTCACTTCCCCTCTTCGGGACCTCATTTTAAAGTGGGGCTGGTGACTTTGCACAGCCCTCTCTCACTTAAATCCAATTCACTTGCATATCATGGCATCATCTTCTTTGAGAATGAAGGATAAACAACAGCTGAGAAATGAAAGGGTTGTACTGGATGAAACTTTGGGGTTCCTTCTACCTCTAAATATATGAAACTATTGGGTTTTGCATTTTTCACTCTTCCCTTGTGATGTTCAGATTATGTGGTGAACTTGACCCTGGCTCTATATTAATCATTGTAGAGATTCCTGACTACCATAGAAGCTCCATTTAACTCAGGCTTTACATAAGAGGTAGCAGTTGAGCTGGCCTTTGAAAGAGGGCATAAGTTTGGACAGCAATATGAAAAGATGACATTTTACAGAATGGAAAATTTTGTGAAGTCTTCTCTGTATCTTTTCTCACAAATCTCATAGCAACCTCAGAGGTTTTTTCATTCTTTTTTTATAGATCAGGAACATGAGACCCAGAAAGGTTCAGTGACTTTATCATGGGTCACAAAGGTAGCAAGTCCCAGAGCCAGGATGCAAACCCACATCTTCCTGACTCTATCTAGTATACCACAAGTGAAAAGGCAAAGGAAAATGTGCACATGGGGACAGATTAGGTAGCGAGAAGGAAGCAGGAAAATGAGTAGGCTTATTTGGGGGAACCATGAATAGTCTAGCTTGACTACAGCAAAAAGAGTACATGAAGTAAAGTAGTATAGAATAAGGTTGGGAAAGTATAATGTATATTATTATTATTATTATGGGGCTCAGGATCCCTTGAACGTCATACCTCAAACTTGGTAGATTGGGAGAACAAGGTTATATATCAGTGGCAGGAACAGAAATGTCAGGAGGAGAGGCAGATTTTTTGATGGGGGGGAGGGAATATGATTGAGTCTGGTTTTGGACATGTAGTATTTGAAGTGGCAACTGTACACCAAGGTAGAAATATCTAGTAAACATCTAGGGAATATATTGAATAGAGTGCTGAGCTTAAAGTCAGGAAGAAGTGAGTTTAAATATTTCCTCATAAGTGTATCTGGACTACTTACTTAACCTCTCTCATCCTAGTTTCATCATTTGTAAAATGAAGATATAATAACACCTAACTCACAGAGTTGTTGTGAGGATCAAATGTAAAAATTTTCCATATGTGTATATATACACACACACGCATATATATACATATACATACACATACACACATGTATATATATACATATATAGTACTTTGTAAAACTTAGAGCCATATAAATGTTAGTTGTTATTGATATTGTCATTACTGTTGTTATTATTCATAAATTTGGTTCTGGGGGCACTTAAGGTGATACAGTGGAGACACTACTGCCCCTGGAATCAGGAGAACCTGAGTTCAAATCTGGCCTCAGACACTACTAGCTGTGTGATCTTGGGCAAGTCACTCAATCCCAATTGTCTCCTCCCACCCCCAAAATAAATATGGTTCTGGAGTTTAGGAGGGAGAATGTTGGTTGCTAGTGGGATAGAGTTAGAGACTACAGAATGACAAGATTTCAGAGCTGAAAGAGGCTAGAGATCATGTAGCCTAACTTTATAATTTTATATAAAAGAAACTGAAGACAAGAGGTCGTGTGAATTGTTTAAGGTCACAGAGCAAGTTAAAGGAAGAGCTGGAACTAGAAGTGCCTCCCAGTCCAAGTGTTCCTTATGAGCCCACCATGTTGCATCTCCCAATAAACATCTTATGGTTAAGGTGAAATCTGAGTTTCCTTTTCTGTGAGGTGATAGTTGAAATTGCAGGAATGGAGGAGTCTACTAAGGAAAGGGATAAAAAGAAGAAAAAGGCACAAGGACGCAGCCATGGGGACTGCTTAAATTTAGGGTATGGGAGGTGGAATGGAAGTCAAAGAAGTAGCCCAGGAGGCAAGAGAGGCAGAGACTCATGAGAGGGCATCTTCAAGGACATAAGGGAGAACAGTGGGTTGAGGAGATGGTGGTGAATGGTGTCCCATGCTACAGAAAGGTCAAAGAAGGTTTGATATGGTTAACTGGAAGGGCATTGGTGACTAATGACAGCACTTTCAATAGAGGATTGGTGAGATAAATCAGATTGCAGGAGGTCGAGGAGTAAATTGGTGGTGTCAACATACAACTTCAAATTGCTCTTTCCAGAAATTCAGAAATGAATGAAAGAGAGTCATGGGAAGGTTGCAGAAAAGCAAAAGAGATAGGGGAAAGAACTTTTTCAAATAGCAGGTATCTAAGAATGGAAGCGGAGAGGAAGGAATCAGTGGAAAGAAAAAGAGCAAAGATATGCAGAAGAAATAAAATGATTGTTCAAGCAAAGACAACTAATAAGTGGGAGAGAATAGGATCAAGTTGGTGTTACCCTTCGAAAGAAAGGCAAACTCTTCTTGTGACAGGAGAAAATGAAGGAAAAAATGTACAAGGGTATACAGAAGTTTCATGGTATGAAGTAGTGGAATTGAGAGCTCCTGTTGAAAAGCTATAATTTTTCAATAGGGAGGCAAGTTCATAAGAAAGGTGGAGATGATGCTGTAAACTTGAAACTAAAAGAGAATTGAGGTAGGTAGCTGATGAGAGATAAATCAGGAAAAAAGAACTATTAAGGAGTAGTGAGAGCCTATATGAAATTAGATCTCACAAATTGGTAATATATTCAAATTAATTTAATTCAGAGACTTCTTCCTACCCCCACCCCTGAGGGGGGGGAAGAGAGAATAGAGACCTAGAATCAAGAAATGGTGAGAAATCACTAGTGATATGAATGAAAAAGAAACCCAATAATAACAGCCATGAAGGGGATGGGATGGAGAGATTCAAGGATGAGGTGTTGTTGAAATAGCCAACCATGAGTTCAAGCCTGAGTATGTTGGCATGTGAATACAGAACAGAGCTGTTAGAACAGGAGAATGAGGAAGAATGGAGGGCTTGGCTGAGAGGGCTTGGTAGGATAAAAGGCATAACAAAGGTGACAAAATATAAAACTGGAGTTAGAGATTGACATTTCAGATATACAAATCTCGGTAGGAAAATAGTTTAAAGTAATGGTGAGATTTAAGTTACCACTATCTAGGTGAAGGGTGGAAATAGAGTGAGATGGACATCACACAAACCAAGTAAATAAGGAACTACAAGATGTTGGAGTCACCCAAGGTAATGGTAGGGGGCTGGTTAGAGAAGAAGACCGAATCAGGTACCAAAACCACTGAGGATACTGAATTGTTCTATGCAAACCATAGAGGAAAGGATGTTTTAACTGGATTCCAATTAAAGTAAAAATTGTTGAGTTATGGCGGCAGAAGAATAGTATGGACTTAGCTGAGGGGAGCAATGAGTACTAAGGGAGCGATCTGAACATTTTCCTCCATAGTAAAATGTAAGTGCCCTGAGGGAAGGGACTATTGGGATTGCAGTCCCCAAGCGCCTAGCACAATGTACCTGTATGTGTGTATGTAGAATGAATATTCAAGAGAATAAATGCAAAACACATGCAAGGTAGTTAAATACAAAAAGGTGATGAGAGATGGCCAATGCAAAGCCAGTGAATTGTAAGGGAGAGAAGGCCAGTTTGGATGGATAGTGGAATGTGGGGTGGGAGTGGTCAGTTATGAATGAGGCTGGAAAGGAGAGATTGGGGCCAGGTTGTGAAGGCCTATAAGAATCCAACATAAAAGGTTTATTTTTTATCCTAGAAGCAATAAAAGGAACAGTTTGTTGTTAGGCATGAACTGAGAATCCTATCCAATTGATAAAACATCTGAGAGCCTGTACTCCAATGGCCCTGCAGCACCCAATATTAACTCCATACTGTAATGCACTGAATACTTGATAAGAATAATCATCAGGTTAACTGAACATGTTTAGTTCCAGCTCTGTTACTAATTAGCTGCATAATCCGGGGCAAGGGATTTCCCTTCTCTGGGTCTCACATTGTTCATCAATAAAACAAGAAGATTAGAATAGATTTTCTGTAAAAGTTATAGTCTAGACCTAAATCAATAAGAAGTGACATTCTGTTATCCAACAAAACAAGAACATAGTGCAACATTTTGAGTCTTTCACAATGTTATAAATGCTGTGTGCCTCAGAAATATTTCAAAGAATTAATTATGATAATGCTGGATAATAGTCAGTGCCAGTATGTGAAGTCAGTATTCCATATTCTTATTACTATATTAAATTCAACCAGTTGTTTACTGTTAAATGCAATTCTGGTGCACTGTGAGCCAACATGAGTGTTGGTATTTTACAGTTCATAAATGTAGCTATTTCTATCTGAAGCAGTCAGTAGAATTTTTTTTTTCATAAGGAAAGCCAATTCGGTAATGAGATTTTCCCCACCCCAGAGCCCCTCAATAACCACATAATAGAAAGGGTCTTACCAAGTTAAGCTGATAGCAAAGAAGCAAGGCTGTTATGTCCTCTTCTTAAAGGACCGATAAGATGAACTGGGTTTCTATAAAGAACGATGAGAAAACATTAATGACTTCTTCTAAGTATTTTATATACAATGCATTTTAATGAAAGAGAAAAACAAGAGAAAATAAATGTCGTCAGGGAAATCACACACACACAAAAAGGAATAAATAGGGACTGTTTTAAAATGATGGTTCTTTTATTTGGAAGATGTGACTAAAACTTAATGAAATGAAGTTACGTAAGGTACTTGAGGCCAAAGCCATCCTTGGGCAGGCACACCTTGGATGTTGCTATGCTCACTTCCTCTCTTTTCATACTGCCACTCAAAAGCCTCCATTAGTCAACCACTTAGCTGAAAAAGCAGAAGCGCTCCTTTGGATTATGTCAAGAAATTAGCACAAAACACCAACTTCCCCTTTGATGTTTTGGGAAGCAAGCTTTTTTTTTTTTTGTCAAGCACTAACGCTTTTATTATTTGTTCACCATTACAAGAAGATAACTTTATAATACTGAACAATTAGCTGGGAAGTTCAAAAGTTCATTCACAATCCTTGACAACTAGAATGACTGAATTTTAACTTTATTGTTAGGTTTGACTTTAAAACTAAATGGGCTTGGTAGAATCACAAACTCTCCATCCTAGCATTCCAGGCTCTAATCTATCTTCTTAGGTTTATCTCATAGCAGTCCTCTTCATGTATTCTGTGTTCAAGTCCAACCAGACTATTCTTCATCCTGAATTCTTGCCCTACCCTTTACTATCTCAATGCCTTTGTCTCTTCCACTGTCATGCTTACAATAGATTACCTCTCCACCTCTACTGAAATTCTTCCCTTCTTTTGAGGTTTAAATCAGACTCCTTTAAGAAGAATTCCCTAAAATTTTCCAGCCTGCTCCAAATCAGGTGGCCTCTCTGTCCTTGAATTTCTTAGAGGATTTCACCTGGTCATCACCTCTGCATTTAATACATACTCCTTTTTATCACCCCATCAGGTCATAAGCTACTTAAAAGCAAAATCTATGTCATATCTATCTTTATATTCCCAATGCGTATCCAGGGTTCTATATGTAATAGGTATTTAATAAATGTTTGTTGAATTGAATTGAATTCTGTGAGCATGGTCTCTATTAGAATTGTCAGGCCTCATTATAATCTGTGCCTTATGATTATGTTATGCTTTCATTTTAAGGATTTAGAAGACTCATGAGTATTATTCCCTTGTTCAGATAGCTTACACAATTTGAGAAAGGCTCTGGAAGTAGCCTGAACACATATTATTAAGTCTAATGTGAACCTCCAACCCAGTGATTATGGTAGAAGTTGGCTATATTATCTCCACAAACCCATTGGTTTGTTTTACTTATTCCTCCGGGTTAGCTCAGTCTATTCAGAACTTGCTTTTCAGCCTCTCTTCACCCCCATGTGCTTCTGGGGAGTGAATATAAACTCATAGGATGTTAAGAGTTGAAAGGAGTCTCACAGATCATCTTATTTTATAGATGAGGAAACTAAGGCCCAGAGAAATGGGGCAGTGAGGTGGAACAGTGGATAGAACGGTGGGCTTGGAATCAGGAAGACTCATCTTCATGAGTTCACATCTGGCCTTAGACACTTACTAGCTGTGTGACCCTGGGCAAGTCACTTCACTCTGTTTGCCTCAGCTCCTCATCTGTAAAACGAACTGGAGAAGGAAATGGCAAAACACTAGTATCTTTGACAAGGAAACCCCAAATGAAGTCTTAAGGAGTTGGACATGCCTGAAAGAACTGTACAATGACAACAAAAGGCCCAGGGAAGGGAAGTTATTTGTCCAAGGTCACAGGCTAGTAAAAAGGCTCAGCCTGAATTTGAACACAACTTTTCTGCCTCCAAATTCAGTGTTCTTTCTACTATATCAACCAGAATTTTTCTCTCTGTAGCTTCAACAACTTTAATCTTCAATGCCAACCATATCTGCTATGTATCACCTTTGGAACATCAAGACAAAATAATCTTTTCTTCTAGTTCCATGGTCCTGAATATCTCTTCTTTCTGTCTTAGTTTTTGGGCTTGTGCCTAAAGGTTATACCTAATTCAATTTTTACCATTTTTTTTCTTTTTTTCCATGGTAGAATACATCAATAATGCTCTAAGTTGTACTTTTCAAACACTGTAGACAGAAATGGGATACTATGAATAGGAAACATGCTGTCTGAAACAAACACTATAATGTGTTTAATTACATGTTATTTGGATGTCACTGTGACAGCTTGCTTACTCAGTTGACAATGCCTTTCAGCTTTGTGCTTATGATTTTTGCTTTAGAAATATTATATCAAGGAGGATGTACTTTTAAAAACATAATACTATCCAATAAATAGCAGATGACTGGTCAGACTGGTCTAGCTCTTTCTTTCAAAAAAACTACCATTTTCCCTAATATAATAATTAATTGAATGAAATAAGTGCTACAGGATGGAGGCTCTAGCTCAGGCTGCATTGATTCTATCCAGTCACAAGATGCAGTGGAATTTTAAAGCAAGCTAATTAAGTTTTCTGGCTTTGTGGATTAGTGGAGACAACCAAACCTATTAGACATCTACGGTTTTGAAAGACATTCTGAGAGTAATGTTTTTTTCCCCCAATTTTTGAACATTTTTATTTAAAGTTTTGAGTTCCAAATGTTATCTCTCCTTCTCTTGTCCCTGAGATGGTACGCAATCAGATATAGATTATACATGTGGAATACATAAAACATTTCCATATTAGTCATTTTTACAACAAGACTCAAATGAAAGAAAAAAATGAAAGAAAGTGAAATTAGCATGCTTCAGTCTGTATTCAATCAATATCAGTTCTTTCTCTGGAGGCAGATAGTATGCTTCATCATTAGTCCTTTGGGATTGTCTTGGATCATTGTATTGCTGAGAATAGCTAATTCATTCACAATTTTTCATTGAACAATATTGCTGTTACTGTGTACAATGTTCTCCTGGTTCTGTTCACTTCACTATGCATCAGTTCACATAAGTCCAGATTTTTCTGAAATCCTGCTTATGATTACAATCATATGCCACAACTCCTTTAGTCATTCTCCAATTGATGGGCATCTCTTTGATTTCTAATTCTTAGCAACCACAAAAAGGACTGCTGTAAATATTTTTGTGAAAATAGTTCCCTTTGCATTTTTTTTGGATGTCTTTGGGATATAGACCTAGCAGCGGCATGGCTAGATCAAAGAGTATATACAGTTTTATAGTCCTTTGGGCACAGTTCCAAATTGTGCTCCAGAATGGTTGGATCAGTTCACAACTCCACCAACAGTACATTAGTGTCCCAGTTTTTCCACTTCCCTTCCAACATCCAACATTTTCCTTTTTTGTCATATTAACCACTCTGATAGGTGAGGTGGTACCTCAGACTTGTTTTAATTTGCATTTCTCTGATCAATGATTTAGAGCATTTTTATATGACTTTGGATAGCTTTGATTTCTTTGTCTGAAAACTGCCTTTCATATCCTTTGACCATTTATTAATTGGGGAATGACTTAATATTTTTATAAATTTGAATCAGTTCCCTATATATTTGAGAAATGAGGCCTTTATCAGAGATACTTGTTGGAAAATACCTTCCCAGTTTTCTGCTTTTCTTATAATTTTGGTTGCATTGGTTTTGCTCTCTTAATTTGCTTATGGTATCATCATGTACCCATTTTGACCTTATCTTGGAATATGGTGTGAAATATTGGTCTATACCTAGTTTCTGCCACACAGTTTTCCAGTTTTCCTAGCAGTTTTTGTCAAATAATGAGTTTTTGTTCCAAAAGCTTGGACCTTTGGGTTTATCATATACTAGACTACTATGGTCATTTACTATAATGTAATTTGTACCTAACTTATTCCACTGATCCAGCACTCTATTTCTTAGCTAGTAGCAAATTGTTTTGATAATTATCACTTTATAAAACAGTTTGAGATCTGGTACAGTTAGTCCACTTTGTTTTGCATTTTTTTCACTGATTTTTTTTTTTTTTTGGTGAGACAATTGGGGTTAAGTGACTTGCCCAAAGTCACACAGCTAGTAAGTGCCAAGGATCTGAGGCTGGATTTCAACTCAGGTCCTCCTGACTCCAAGGCTCTATTCACTGTGCCACCTAGCTGCTGGACTTGGTTCATTTTAGAACCCTGTTTTAATCAGCTACAACCTGACACAAATAAATTTATAAAAAGAAATACTGTTCAAAATTTTCTGGGTTATTGTAACTCAGAAGCTACCATTGGTTAAATTAATATATCTTTAGGGGGAGAAAACAGAAATGAACAGTATTCTTATAGATAACTTAAGAATACTGTTCAGTTATCTAATTGCTGTACAATACAAAGGCATCACTTTAAAGTGATGATGTTAAGACAGTTGTAATACCCTTCTCCAATTTAGGCTGATAGTGGTGTTACTTTTTTTTTCAATAAATTCTACTGCTTGATTCCCCTTCTAACTAGGACTGTGTGATTTGACCTGTTATAAGTCTGATTCTATTTTATAGCTGTGTGATAGTGTTCTGTATTGGATGTTTGCAGAGTAAAAATGCTATCACATTTTTGCATTTCCCTTACCTACTTAGCACAGTGACTTGCTCAAGTAGATCTTCAATAAATATTTGTTAAATGAATAACTGCAAGGAAAAGTAACTATAATAAATCATTTCTTCTATCTTTTCACATTTCCCTATACATGCCATTTTCCTCTATTTGAATGTAAGCTCCTTTAGGTCAGGGGCTGTCTCAGTTTCTTTTATTTGTATTACCAGCACTTAGCATGGTACCTGCCATGCAATAAAAGTGCTAAATAAATGTTTGTATCAATCATTTATTCATTCATTCCTTCAATTCTACATTAAGTCAATGTTTGCTGTTTCTTTATGCTGAAATTCATCTTTGTGTCTTGGTAAATGTAGATGTGTTGTGTACACACATTCATTGCAGCTGGTAAAACTGATCAAAGTAGAACAAATAATAGAAATAAAATAGAAACATCATCATCTAATTTATATATATAT